ATGCCAAACCCGCCCAAGGAAACTGAGGGTAGATATGGTGTCCTCCGTGAGGAAGGTATAAGTGGCCTCCCCAAAAACCAACAAAGAAAAAGCAAAGAGACTACTACCTGACTCTTTGGAAATCACGGCGTCTGGACACCTGTGCGCCCATTTTAAAGCCGACACCAAGCTTCGGACACACGGGGATAAATATCGCTGGGTATCGCAGGTCTTAAAATTGGACCCTTACAATAAGACGAAGGGGTCCATTGAACTTAAGATTGGGAGGAACAATTTGTATGTGAGGTGCAAGAACGACAAATTCTTGCCCACATACCCACTTCCGGTGCAGGTGGCGAAGTTTTAGAAAAAGCAAAGGCGTATGGAAAAGGCAAGAGCACACACGTGATTGTGTTCGACGTCCCAAGGGAAATCGAAGCAGAAGAAATGACGTCTTGCAATGAACGCGTCGTGCATGCCAAACGCATGAAGATCAATGGATTGATGACCCAGAGAGCCATCATAACATACGAGGGGGAGGTAATCCCCAAAACTATCAAAATGGTGGAGGGCATGGCACCCTTTAGGTGTGCCGTCTTCAAATCTCTGACCCCGTTTTGCTCCCATTGTTCAAAGTGGGGACACGGGGCACGAGAGGCACCGCGGTGCCGATATTGCGCTCTTTCGCATGAAAGCTCAGAGTGCGCAGAGAAAATTTCAGAAGGCAAAATCATCTCTTGGAAATGTGTGGAAACTGCCGTCAGGCGCATAATGCCAACTCGCCATTATGCGCCTATTACCCGAAGGACAGAAAGGCAACACATGAAAGGAAGCAGGCAGCCCCTCCCCCCAATAAACCGCGCCCATCCCCTCGTCTTAATGGCGTGGGGGAATTCCCACACCTGCAGAGGTCAACACTGACGGCCCCTGCAAACAAAGCCATGGCACCGGCCACATCACCAGCTGCAGCACCTACTCCAGTTGCAGCACTCACTCCAGCGCCAGCTGTAGCACCAGCTGCAGCACCGACGCCATCACCAGCTCCAGCTCCTCCCTCACCGCAGCAGGAAAAGCAAGAGTCCAACAGGGAAATGAGAGATTTGATCCAAATGTTGTTCAAGCAGCTGGAGCAGATGATGTTCATGATGCGGCAACAGATGGTGCAGTTCCAGGAGAGGATTTTTGCGCTCTTCCTCGAGCAACGACAACATCCAGTGGGCCTTGGAAACGGCCAAGTGATGATCGATGGATCAAAATAATCCGTTAAAGTGCATTACCTGGAACATTAACAGTTTGCAGAAACGCAAGGCGACCCTCGCTCAGTATCTTCACTCGGAAAGTGTTGATGTGTGTTGCCTTCAGGAAGTTAGAACTGATGCTCGTTATGCAAAAATTGCAGGATACACACATCACGAGAAACCTAATATTGCTAATCCCTCTACAAAAGGACTTGGTATTTACATAAAAAATAGTATCCCATCAAAAGTGATCGATGACAAACGTGACAGTGCAAGTGCTAAATATCTTGGTGTTAAAATATTTCCTGATGGTAGAACCATCACCATCATTAATGTATATAACCCACATGATAGTGAAGTGGTACCTAAACCTCCCGACAGTATGATACATAATGCTACTGTCTTACTGTGTGGAGATTTTAATGCCCGTCATCCTCTCCTTGGCTCTGAGGGAAGCGCCATAGGTAAAAACGGCAAGGTATATTATGATTATCTTCAAACACCAGTGATCCCATACACCTATTATGCCCCCTTGAAAAGACATTATCTAGGTGGCAAATTAGATTATATAGTCTTATACAATCAGCACACACTCCCATGCCATCAAAAAGGTACTGAACAGCAGCGACACCTAGCTGTCTTCTCTGACAGCCAGGGTGCACTATATAGACTTAATCCAGAAAACATGGTAACTATCAATACCATTCACCAAATCGCTAGCCTATCCAAGCAGGGTATACAAGTGTCAATATACTGGATACCTTCTCATATAGGAATATCAACCTGTGACAACGTAGATAAGTTAGCAAAACAAGCACTTTCCCATGAAGAACCATATTATGCATTACCGTGACCTG